GTATTGGACTGATGAAGCCACTGTGTGGCGAAACGTTTCCTGAATAAAGATTCCCATATGCTGCATAAGTGTCTCATTCTTCAGACCCCTTATATAGCTTCCTTGGATGCTTTACATTCATAGTTCCTTGATAATGTGAGTAGTCACGAAAGCTCTTGGAATTTCTCTATTCTTTCAGAGTGGTTGTTTTGCATATTCTGAAATCACCTGTTTACTGTGATCTTATTGCATATATAATATATATATATATAATATATATATATATATATATTATATATATATATATATATATATATATATATATATATATATATATATATATATATATATATATATATATATTATTTTTTTATTATCACACTGGCCGATTCCACAAGGCAGGGTGGCCCGAAAAAAGAAAAACTTCACCATCATTCACTCCATCACTGTCTTGCCAGAAGGGTGCTTTACACTACAGTTTTTAAACTGCAACATTAACACCCCTCCTTCAGAGTGCAGGCACTGTACTTCCCATCTCCAGGACTCAAGTCCGGCCTGCCGGTTTCCCTGAACCCCTTCATAAATGTTACTTTGCTCACACTCCAACAGCACGTCAAGTATTAAAAACCATTTGTCTCCATTCACTCCTATCAAACACGCTCACGCATGCCTGCTGGAAGTCCAAGCCCCTCGCACACAAAACCTCCTTTATCCCCTCCCTCCAACCTTTCCTAGGCCGACCCCTACCCCCGCCTTCCTTCCACTACAGACTGATACACTCTTGAAGTCATTCTGTTTCGCTCCATTCTCTCTACATGTCCGAACCACCTCAACAACCCTTCCTCAGCCCTCTGGACAACAGTTTTGGTAATCCCGCACCTCCTCCTAACTTCCAAACTACGAATTCTCTGCATTATATTCACACCACACATTGCTCTCAGACATGACATCTCCACTGCCTCCAGCCTTCTCTAGCTGCAACATTCATCACCCATGCTTCACACCCATATAAGAGCGTTGGTTAAAACTATACTCTCATACATTCCCATCTTTGCCTCCAAGGACAAAGTTCTTTGTCTTCACAGACTCCTAAGTGCACCACTCACTCTTTTCCCCTCATCAATTCTATGATTCACCTCATCTTTCATAGACCCATCGCTGACACGTCCACTCACAAATATCTGAATACATTCACCTCCTCCATACTCTCTCCCTCCAATCTGATATTCAATCTTACATCACCTAATCTTTTTTGTTATCCTCATAACCTTACTCTTTCCTGTATTCACCTTTAATTTTCTTCTTTTGCACACCCTACCAAATTCATCCACCAATCTCTGCAACTTCCCTTCAGAATCTCCCAAGAGCACAGTGTCATCAGCAAAGAGCAGCTGTGACAACTCCCACTTTGTGTGTGATTCTTTATCTTTTAACTCCACGCCTCTTGCCAAGACCCTCGCATTACTTCCTTTACAACCCCATCTTAAATATATTAAACAACCACGGTGACATCACACATCCTTGTCTAAGGCCTACTTTTACTGGGAAATAATTTCCTCTTTCCTACATACTCTAACTTGAGCCTCACTATCCTCGTAAAAAACTCTTCACTGCTTTCAGTAACCTACCTCCTACACCATACACTTGCAACATCTGCCACATTGCCCCCTATCCACCCTGTCATATGCCTTTTCCAAATCCATAAATGCCACAAAGACCTCTTTAGCCTTATCTAAATACTGTTCACTTATATGTTTCACTGTAAACCCCTGGTCCACACACCCCCTACCTTTCCTAAAGCCTCCTTGTTCATCTGCTATCCTATTCTCCGTCTTACTCTTAATTCTTTCAATAATAACTCTACCATACACTTTACCAGGTATACTCAGCAGACTTATCCCCCTATAATTTTTGCATTCTCTTTTATCCCCTTTGCCTTTATACAGAGGAACTATGCATGCTCTCTGCCAATCCCTAGGTACCTTACCCTCTTCCATACATTTATTAAATAATTGCACCAACCACTCCAAAACTATATCCCCACCTGCTTTTAACATTTCTATCTTTATCCCATCAATCCGGCTGCCTTACCCCCTTTCATTTTACCTACTGCCTCACGAACTTCCCCCACACTCACAACTGGCTCTTCCTCACTCCTACAAGACGTTATTCCTCCTTGTCCTATACACGAAATCACAGCTTCCCTATCTTCATCAACATTTAACAATTCCTCAAAATATTCCCTCCATCTTCCCAATACCTCTAACTCTTCATTTAATAACTCTCCTCTCCTATTTTTAACTGACAAATCCATTTGTTCTCTAGGCTTTCTTAACTTGTTAATCTCACTCCAAAACTTTTTTTTATTTTCAACAAAATTTGTTGATAACATCTCACCCACTCTCTCATTTGCTCTCTTTTTACATTGCTTCACCACTCTCTTAACCTCTCTCTTTTTCTCCATATACTCTTCCCTCCTTGCATCACTTCTACTTTGTAAAAACTTCTCATATGCTAACTTTTTCTCCCTTACTACTCTCTTTACATCATCATTCCACCAATCGCTCCTCTTTCCCTCCCGCACCACTTTCCTGTAACCACAAACTTCTTCTGAACACTCTAACACTACATTTTTAAACCTACCCCATACCTCTTCGACCCCATTGCCTATGCTCTCATTAGCCCATCTATCCTCCAATAGCTGTTTATATCTTACCCTAACTGCCTCCTCTTTTAGTTTATAAACCTTCACCTCTCTCTTCCTGATGCTTCTATTCTCCTTGTATCCCATCTACCTTTTACTCTCAGTGTAGCTACAACTAGAAAGTGATCTGATATATCTGTGGCCCCTCTATAAACATGTACATCCTGAAGTCTACTCAACAGTCTTTTATCTACCGATACATAATCCAACAAACTACTGTCATTTCGCCCTACATCATATCTTGTATACTTATTTAATCCTCTTTTTCTTAAAATATGTATTACCTATAACTAAACCCCTTTCTATACAAAGTTCAATCAAAGGGCTCCCATTATCATTTACACCTGGCACCCCAAACTTACTTACCACACCCTCTCTAAAAGTTTCTCCTACTTTAGCATTCAGGTCCCCTACCACAATTACTCTCTCACTTGATTCAAAGGCTCCTATACATTCACTTAACATCTCCCAAAATCTCTCTCTCTCCTCTACATTCCTCTCTTCTCCAGGTGCATACACGCTTATTATGACCCACTTTTCGCATCCAACCTTTACTTTAATCTACGTAATTCTTGAATTTATACATTCATATTCTCTTTTCTCCTTCCATAACTGATCATTTAACATTACTGCTACCCCTTCCTTTGCTCTAACTCTCTCAGATACTCCAGATTTAATCCCATTTATTTCCCCCACTGAAACTCCCCTACCCCCTTCAGCTTTGTTTCGCTTAGGGCCAGGACATCCAACTTCTTTTCATTCATAACATCAGCAATCATCTGTTTCTTGTCATCCGCACTACATCCACGCACATTTAAGCATCCCAGTTTTATAAAGTTTTTCTTCTTCTCTTTTTTAGTAAATGTCTACAGGAGAAGGGTTACTAGCCATTGCTCCCGGCATTTTAGTCGCCTCATACGACACGCATGGCTTACGGAGGAAAGATTCTTTTCCACTTCCCCATGGACAATAGAAGAAATAAAGAAGAACAAGAGCTATTTAGAAAAAGGAGAAAAACCTAGATGTATGTATATATATATGCATGTGCGTGTCTGTGAAGTGTGACCATATATATATAATATATATATATATATATATATATATATATATATATATATATATAATATATATATATATAATATATATATATAATATATATATGTATATATATATATATATATATATATATATATATAATATATATATATATATATATATATGTGTGTGTGTGTGTGTGTGTGTGTGTGTGTGAGTGTATGAACATCAAAATGGTATAAAATACGACAGTTGGTAGGTAAGACACACTAAGAGTTCAGTTCCATAGTCTATGGAACTGAACTCTCCAGGCTGAGGGACTGACAACCTCAAATTCTACGACTTCAAGGGTGATGGACTGATTACATCGTCTTCACATCTCTACTGTTCCTGCCCTACTTTCTGTATTCGATTGAAGAAGCCTACTGTGTAGGCCAAACGTTTCGGAATAAAGTTGCCTAACTGTTGCCTTTGTTGTCTTACCTACCATATATATAATATATAAATATATATATATATATATATATATATATAAATATATATATTATATATATATATATATATATATATATATATATATATATATATATATATATATGCAAAACAACCACTCTGAAAGAATAGAGAAATTCCAAGCGCTTTCGTGACTACTCACATTATCACATAGTTCCTTGATAATGTGAGTAGTCACGAAAGCGCTTGGAATTTCTCTATTCTTCAGAGTGGTTGTTTTGCATATTTTGAAATCACCTGTTTACTGTGATCTTATTGCATATATATTATATAATATATATATATATATATATATATATATATATATTATATATATATATATATAATATATATATAATATATATATATAATATATACATACATACATACATACATACATACATACATACATACAAACACGAAAGAAGAAGAAACGAAAGCTTCTCTTCTTTTTATATTTAGTAATTTATATAGGAGAAGGGGTTACTATCCCCTTGCACCTGGCATTTTAATCGCCTCTTACGTATGTATGTGTATACATTTCCATGGGGAGGATGCCTCTACCACTTTAAAACTAATTGTTTATATAGCTTCAGCTTTAGGCTTCACAGTAATGTATACTTGAGGCTTTTTAGTTACAGTATATATATACTCGTCCATGCTTGAGGCTTCGCGGTAATGCATGCTTAAAACTTCTTAGTAATGAATATACTTCTCTTTACTTAAAACTTCGCAATAATGCGTATCTGAGGCTTCACAGTAATATACAATATACTTGGGTATGCCTCAGGGTTTCCTACCCATGGTCTGTTTACCGTTCGTGATGGTGTGCGGAGCTCCACCTCTGAGGCCTACCTCAGGCCCGCCTCTTCCAGACCCAACCTCCACATCCTCCACAGTGCCACCGTTCTTCAGGTCAGTCTTTCAAACCATTAACTTCCTCCTCAGCCTCCAGGTCAGTATTTGTGGTCACTGACCTTCCTCAACCTCCAAGTTACTCTGAGGCCATTAACCTCTCTCAACCTCCAAGTCTATATTTTAAGGACACTGACTTCCATCCCTCAGGCTCCAGGTCAGCCGTAAGGCCTCTGATCTCCCTCAACCTCCAAGTCAATCCGAAGATAACTAGCTTTATCTCTCAACCTTCAGGTCAGTCCTAAAGTCGCTAACCTCCAACTGTTTTCCTTCAATCTACAGGCTTATCGTAAGTCCACCAACATCTTTCCTCAACCTCCAGGTCAGTCCCAAGGTCTCTGGCCTCCTCCCATAACTTCCGTGTGTGTCTGTGGTATACCTGTTGCTGCAATCGTAATCTTTTGCCAACTGTTCTAACTTGATTCACCATGTCTGATAGTTTAATATTTAAATCTAGAAATGGGCATGAAGAAAATAAAAAAATAGAATTGTATCTGGCATTTACAATGAAAATAAAGAGGTTAAAATACTCATCCTAAATTGCCTTTAAAAGGATAGACTACTTTTTTTGGCAAGATGGGGTAAAAGGGTGGTAAGAAAACTAATAAAGAAATGGCCTCCATTTTTTGAAACGCCGTTATAGTTCACACCTTAGTCAACAGATCTAAGAACATTTGTCTTTTTAAATATTTTAGACATGTTAGTCGGATTAAGCACTACTAGCTTCCAATTGCTTCTTTTTTTTATATATAACTTTAATGTTACTTTTTTATGCAAGTTTTTTTCATTTTTTTTGTCAACTACCCAGGATGCTTAGTTTACTACAGCTTCAGCTTAATTTGTTAATGCTTTTATTATTGCACTTCCTTGAAAGGTGAAGGGCTCTTGATCCAAGAAATTAGAATTCTCCTTTTTCCACATATTAAGCCTGATTACCTACCATTCCCAAGACACTGCATAACCCCTACAGGTTTAGTGGTTCTTCATGAAAAATAATGCCAATTTAAATTACCTTATCATTAACAGGTGGTGTTTGATAACAACAAGAGAGCTGCTGGCGTCAAACTGGAATACAAAGGAAAGGTAAACTAACGTTATCTTTACTACAGGAATATAAATTACCATTAAAATTTCTAGATGGATCATTAATTAATTACTGTTAAGGCAAAACATAATAGGATAGTAAAACTACTACAAATATGGAGAAAAGAAATAAGGTAAGATCAGGTTCAGCGTTGTGTGGTACTTATCTGCTCGTGTAGTGTGACTGAAGTTCTGTACTGTAGACCAGCTTGGTAAGTACTCCCGAGATGATAAAACTACCTTAAGTCTGGGTTATTGTTGCAGAAACAGCGATTAAGGCACCCTCAAGAAAGTGACGCTTCCTCAGGTTAACCTACTTATCGACTAATTTGGCGTCTTTCCATCTCGTAAACTCCCTTGCGAATTCCTGTATATTATGCAAGCGTTATTTATATTGTCTCTATTGTATGCCTATTTGTGTTCACACAAGAGCGAAGAAACGCTGCAAGCTGCTGGTTCGCCAAGGTATTAATTCAAGCTCCTGACTGTCTCACCAACATATACCTTATCACTTCCCGTAGATGGCATAACTTGCGTTAGTTTCGACAGTCTTGCTTAGCTCACCCGACTTCCTAGCCCTGTGATTTTCTGTTCTCTGTAATAGATTGGGTGGAACGTCTCTTAGTTAAATATCCTGTGTTGAATTTGTCTATTCCTATATTTGACCATCTCTGACTTTGTTGATGCACAGGATAACCTCTTAGAAAGGCCAACGATATCACAGTTACTACATATCGCAACCAAATTTGATCAGGAAGTGACATCTGAGCTAAACTATAATTCATTCTCAAAATATTCCACAAACACCTTGTAATAAGCGTGTTTATGGATGCTAAAACCCACAATGAGAGCATGGTTATGTTGTCATGTGTGACCTAGAGTTTACCTGGAAAGAGTTCCGGGGATCAACGCCCCCGCGGCCCGGTCTGTGAGCAGGCCTCCTGGTGGATCAGAGCCTGATCAACCAGGCTGTTACTGCTGGCTGCACGCAATCCAACGTACGAGCCACAGCCCGGCTGGTCAGGTACCGACTTTAGGTGCTTGTCCAGTGCCAGCTTGAAGACAGCCAGGGGTCTATTGCTAATCCCCCTTATGTATGCTGGGAGGCAGTTGAACAGTCTCGGGTCCCTGACACTTATTGTATTGTCTCTTAACGTGCTAGTGACACCCCTGCTTTTCATAATATAGATTTTTGATAATATCAAATTTATACTTAAATTTGATAATTATACGATGAAGTAAACTGATGACTCAAACTATTGTTTCAGTTCCTAACTTCAGTTTGTCTGGAAGTCAATTTAATTTCAATACGATGATTTGTGACCGGGTCAGTAATAGTCTTAGCAATGTCTCAGCAATCTCAGACAGGTTACTTAGGTTGCATCATATAACTTGATTATAAATACAATTATGATTAGATTATTACCTCTGAATTTCCTAGATCAGATAATGGGTCCGGGTCCAATGCTAATATGACCTGGAGACCTCCAAGTCAAGTATAGTACAGTAAAATTAAATTGTAGTGTAAATGGGAAAATCTAAGATGAGGTCATAATTATATAATTACTTGTGGACTTTATTGTTAATTACTTCTGAAATCTTGATTAAATTAAGGTTTTACGATAATTTAATAATCCATATATTTTTTTTAAAGCCCATATGATATAATTACCCAATGAACTTTTAACAAAGACCCATTGTGACAACTGGAATCCTTTCCGTATTCTTCAAAGGCTGTGGTGCGGGTGCACCTCATACTAGCTACTCGGGCAAAAAAAAAAAAAGAAAAAATGTAGCTTTGGACCCGTGTCCAGTAGCAGGTGCCTCAGGCTCTTACCAGAACCTGTTTCACTTGTAAGTTGCAACTCGTGTATGCAATATTTATTTTTCCACGGATATCGATTATTGCATTATATTAGTGCAAGGTTAAATGTTAAATATTAAATAATATTAAATAATATCTTTCATCGGTTATATTATTATTATTATTATTATTATTATTATTATTATTATTATTATTATTATTATTATTATTATTATCATGAGAAAACGCTAAACCCGTAGGGATTATACAGCGCCTGAGGAGGGGGATGTAAGGCATTTAGGCTCAATTCAGGGAACTGGAGCACAGATCCAATTCCCTAGATCAAGAGCCCCTCACCAGCATCAAGGAACCTCCCTTGAGGGGTTCATCAGTTATAATGATGTTATTTTCCAAGTCAAATATGCAACCATTATGAAGAATAAAAAGGCACAATACGGCTACTGGAACAATATACCTGGAGTCTACCTGGAGGATAGTCTGGGGATCAACGCCCCCCCCGCGCCCCGGTCCATAACCAGGCCTCTCAGTAGATCAGCGCTGATCAACCAGGCTGTTACTGCTAGTCGCACGTAGTCCAACATACGAACCACAATCCGGCTGATCCGGCACCGACAAATAACCAGCACACAGAAGAAACTTACGACGGCGTGTGGTGGTCCAGGTCGAACAGAAACGCCGTTATAAGTTTCTTTCTCTTATGTGGAGGTTATTTTTATAATGCAGCCATTATATTGATAAGTATAAATGATTGTTAAAGCAAGAAAAGTGTGCATTACACTAAAATTATGCGACTAAGATAAGAGAGGCTGCATTTATAAAGAAGTCTTACGAGCACTGCAGAACACACGGGTAATTACGACACTTGACGTATTACTCCTCAACAGTCTCTAATATTCCTTAATCATGCGACTGCACATAGATACTTTCCACCATAGGTTGTTGACGTAACTGTCCTTCAGTTGGAGTGCCTTGAAGCTGGTGAAGGGCTCGTGAAGCAAGGAATTTGAACTACCTTCCTTTTTCTTGGATCAGATCTGATTACTATACATTCCCAGGTGTTGTATGATTCTTACGTGTTTAGCAGTTCTCTATGAATATAAAAACAATAAGAATGTGTTGTGACAGGTGATGACAATTGGAGCCCGGAAGGAGGTAGTGTTGTCTGCCGGAGCAATACGGTCGCCCCATCTGCTGTTGGTGTCAGGGGTCGGACCACAAGACCATCTGCAGCACCACAAGGTAAGGAATAACAACACCTGAGGTGCTACACGGTAAGGAACCACAATTCAAATTCAAATTCAAATTCAAAGTTTATTCTCTATAAGGATTACAATGTTGAGTTTACAGAAATTTGGTTATTGTGTGGTTTACATGTAGTAAAATTGTGATTACAGAGTGTACCACTAGAACGCTTAGCATGGCTAGGCATTTCGGGCAGACTTAGTTTTATTCTAGCAGAGATAACCCCAGGAGGCAGCTCAGATGACAATTCACACACATATGAGCTATTAAATCTCGGCAACAAATTCACCTTAAGCCTTATACATATATATGGTTATAACTATAACCATAATTTTTAAGGGGGTGGACCGGTAAGACAGCGTTATGTCCACAAGGCACAGTACTTGCTCTCATCCTGTTCCTTATCTTCATATCTGACACAGAGAGAGATGTAACTACAGCTAGCGTGCCGTGATGAGACTTCTAGTCAAGTCCTCTCAAAGCCGTCAACTGAGGCTCTGAGGGACTTGAGCCTTGGATGACACCCGAATCTCGGAAATAGTAGTTCATCCGGCGAATACACTGCAATCTCACAACGTAGGATAAAACAAACCAACTCTTTAATGGGCGCAGAAAAAAATGTAGTAATGAAGACAAATTCAACTCACTCCCTATCAAAACACGAAGAAATGCAAAAGTACTGCTTGGAGTTAAAACAAATTCTCAACGCATCGCTAGAGCAACACTGTGAAAGCCTGGGATCGATAGCATGATCACAGGATCTCACTTTCAAAATCACAACATGTATCTACCACACTGGCTGGAAAATGATATACCTAGTTCACTGGAGAGAGTATCCTGGTCAACGCCTCCCGGCTGGATATGTGACCATGGCCTCCTGTGATCAGAGCGACAACCAGGACCTGATATAACTGTGGCCTGCAAGAATCCAACGTACACACACTCGTGGTTAAGGAATGGAAATCAGAACCTTGCAAAACAGGAGCCAGCCCAAAACCACCTGTAACGGCTTGTCTCAGGCTGGAATATTGTGAACTCCAACGCCCTTTAAGCGGCTGAAATCCAACGAGAAACCCACGGCACTTATGAATGAATCACCTTTTAATTCCTAGGAACCAACCATACACCCCTGCGGTGATGAAACCGCGTCATACTCTAGACCGACTGTGTGTTCAATCCCGGCCAGGGAAGGCTAATTTTGCACACTGTGTCATTACGATTCTTAAGTCAATCTTACCTCAGTTGCTACAAGGTAAGGAACCACACACCACCTGTGGTGCAACAAGGAACCACAACACGTGTGCAACAGAGCCACAACACCACTTGTGGTGCTTCAAGGTAAGGAACCACACACCACCTGTGGTGCAACAAGGAACCACAACACCACTTGTGGTGCTTCAAGGTAAGGAACCACATCACCACCTGTGGTGCAACAAGGAACCACAACACCACCTGTGGTGCAACAAGGAACCACAACACCACTTGTGGTGCTTCAAGTAAGGAATCCACAACAACCACCTGTGGTGCAACAAGGACCACAACACCACTTGTGGTGCTTCAAGGTAAGGAACCACACACCACCTGTGGTGCAACAAGGAACCACAACACCACTTGTGGTGCTTCAAGGTAAGGAACCACAACACCACCTGTGGTGCAACAAGGAAACAAGGAACCACAACACCACTTGTGGTGCTTCAAGGTAAGGAACCACAACACCACCTGTGGTGCAACAAGGAACCACAACACCACTTGTGGTGCTTCAAGGTAAGGAACCACATCACCACCTGTGGTGCAACAAGGAACCACAACACCACTTGTGGTGCTTCAAGGTAAGGAACCACAACACCACCTGTGGTGCAACAAGGAACCACAACACCACCTGTGGTGCAACAAGGAACCACAACACCACTTGTGGTGCTTCAAGGTAAGGAACCACAACACCACCTGTGGTGCAACAAGGAACCACAACACCACTTGTGGTGCTTCAAGGTAAGGAACCACAACACCACCTGTGGTGCAACAAGGAAAGAACCACATACCACCTGTGGTGTTCAACGAAGGAACCACAACACCACTGTGGTGCTCAAGTAAGGAACCACAACACCACCTGTGGTGCCAAAAGGAACCACAACACCACTGTGGTGCACAAGGTAAGGAACCAACACCACCTGTGGTGCAACAAGGAACCACAACACCACTTGTGGTGCTTCAAGGTAAGGAACCACAACACCACCTGTGGTGCAACAAGGAACCACAACACCACCTGTGGTGCAACAAGGAACCACAACACCACTTGTGATGCTTCAAGGTAAGGAACCACAACACCACCTGTGGTGCAACAAGGAACCACAACACCACCTGTGGTGCAACAAGGAACCACAACACCACCTGTGGTGCAACAAGGAACCACAACACCTGTGGTGCAACAAGGAACCACAACATCACTTGTGGTGCTTCAAGGTAAGGAACCACAACACCACCTGTGGTGCAACAAGGAACCACAACACCACTTGTGGTGCTTCAAGGTAAGGAACCACAACACCACCTGTGGTGCAACAAGGAACCACATCACCACCTGTGGTGCAACAAGGAACCACAACACCACTTGTGGTGCTTCAAGGTAAGGAACCACATCACCACCTGTGGTGCAACAAGGAACCACAACACCACTTGTGGTGCTTCAGGTAAGGAACCACATCACCACCTGTGGTGCAACAAGGAACCACAACACCACTTGTGGTGCTTCAAGGTTAGGAACCACAACACCACCTGTGGTGCAACAAGGAACCACATCACCACCTGTGGTGCAACAAGGAACCACAACACCACTTGTGGTGCTTCAAGGTAAGGAACCACAACACCACCTGTGGTGCTAACAAGGAACCACAACACCACTTGTGGTGCTATCAAGGTAAGGAACCACATCACCACCTGTGGTGCAACAAGGAACCACAACACCACTTGTGGTGCTTCAAGGTAAGGAACCACATCACCACCTGTGGTGCAACAAGGAACCACAACACCACTGTGGTGCTTAAAGGTTAGGAACCACAACACCACCTTGTGGTGAACAGAACCATCACCACCTGTGGTGCAACAAGGAACCACAACACCACTTGTGGTGCTTCAAGGTAAGGAACCACAACACCACTTGTGGTGCTTCAAGGTAAGGAACCACAACACCACTTGTGGTGCTTCAAGGTAAGGAACCACAACACCACCTGTGGTGCAACAAGGAACCACAACACCACCTGTGGTGCAACAAGGAACCACAACACCACCTGTTACTGCTAAAGACACGCGAATGCACTTGATTGATTACTATATTAGTATTGTTAATAAAGTTTCTTGTGTGTGTGTGTGTGTGTGTGTGTGTGTGTGTGTGTGTGTGTGTGTGTGTGTGTGTGTGTGTGTGTGTGTGTGTGTGTGTGTGTGTGTGTGTGTGTGTGTGTTTGTGTGTGTGTGTAAATGATTCAGTGTAAAATATCTATGTAAATCATTGTTACTCAAATCGTAATAATCAGCCTGTTATTTATAAATATGGCGTTTCTTACAAAGTTGCTTGTTTGGGGTCCCTTATTATTGTCAGTTGGTTGTTGGAATTTTTACTTCCTCTTTCGATAAACGCAAAGAACTTGGGAATATATACATAATTAAAGTGCCTGAGTGGTGAGTATGCATGAATGAAGGGGATATAAATCGTGTTAAAAATGTTTGAACTAAGACAGAACTTGCAGGAATGGATTAAGTGTGTGATCAATTTAGATTCTGAAAGCACAGTTTAAAAAGAAGTTCGAGATGCACTAAACTTAAGTTAGACAAGTACGCGAATAGGAATGACCGAGTTTCAATAGGATTTGCCTAACTGACGTCAGTAGGCTGACTGCAAAGCTCGTGAAATATGATCAGGAAAGTATGCATTGCATATTAATTAATACGTTCTGAACGCATAACCAAATGGCACATTATACTGTAGTTGTGTTACATATAGGTGACGATGGTGGCAGATGTACCGGGGGTGGGCCAGAACCTGCATGATCATGTATCAGTGAATGGCCTCAGCTGGACCACCAGGAAGGGCCTTTCCAGCTCCACCATCATACGTTCTGCCAGTCCCTCCTCTCTCAAACAGTACATAGCCAACAGGTCAGGTAGGTGCTTACGTCAAACATTTAAATTTGATTTTTTATTCTCAATTTATTGTAGAATAGGTTAATCTTATTCATATATTAACAACAATTACTTGTCAGAAGTAAAACATTTTTTTTTCAGAATTTACACTGAGAACGTACTTAAAGCATTAAATGAAACAAAGAGAGCAGTTGGCCTTAGAAAACTCAAACCTTTAAGGATCAGAGAAATGAATGCTCACTCCGTATTAATCTAGAATGTTGCATGTTAATCTGGAATGTTGCAAAAATAAAGGGGTGACAATTCAAATATTTACAATGATCAAACTGCATGAACATATTAAGAAAAGTGTTTAAATATTTTCCAATAAAACATAACATGATGAGTAAGACATGCATTACTGGGAATCTTTATTGATATAACGTTTCACCTGCGCTGCAAGCTTCATCGATCGAATATAGCGACGAGTTAACTTCTGGATACATCAGTCTTGGTGGAGAGGTAGCTTAATGTAATCAGTTCATCAACCTTGGTGCAAAATAACATGACTCCTAGCCTAAAGTAGAAGCATGTGTCCAGACGCTTTTATACTGGAAAGTGAGGTACATGTAGAAAACACTGAGGAAACATAGGTTCTACTTACATTCCAAGTGGTTTAATGAGCTCCAGGGTCCTCACTCGGCGTCTCCTCCGAAATTGTCACTCTGGAAGAATATTCACCACATTTAGGACTTTTATTTTTAATGATAATCATTTTAATAAGTGTAAGATTGAATTAATGAGAAATTTAAAGTGGACTGTGTAAAGACTGAAGCAGACCGTTCAGAGTAGCTGTCATTACAAAAACAATTAATACATGACAGTATGTTACAACTGGAAAAGTATTTTATCATGAAAATCATAACCATAAATATTACATTACGTGACATACACTGTCACACGTTTGTAGATGAATGGTTCAGAGAACCGACATGTTGATAAATTAGTCACATGTGCAACTCTTGGGTATCTTTATTGAGGAAACGTTTCGCCACACAGTGGCTTCATCAGTCCATACAAAGGAGAATATTGAAGAACAGGAGGAGAATGAGGTAATCAGTCCCTCAACCTTGAGTCGATGTGGTCAGTCCATCAATCTTGAATAGAATACGGCATACGTGCGGAGAAGGAGCTTATAAACCGTAGGCAGGAGAGGTGCAGCAGTCATAGGTGGTGTCACATTTGTTCAATGTGGAAGTAGGTCTTGCCTAATTCTTGGGCACGACCTACTTCCACATTGAACAAATGTGACACCACCTATGACTGCTGCACCTCTCCTGCCTACGGTTTATAAGCTCCTTCTCCGCACGTATGCCGTATTCTATTCAAGATTGATGGACTGACCACATCGACTCAAGGTTGAGGGACTGATTACCTCATTCTCCTCCTGTTCTTCAATATTCTCCTTTGTATGGACTGATGAAGCCACTGTGTGGCGAAACGTTTCCTCAATAAAGATACCCAAGAGTTGCACATGTGTCTAATTTATCAACTGTCACGCGTAAATAAGTATTAATCTAATCAAACTATTTGATTGTCAGAAAAATACTGTGCCTTGTGACAGTACCGCTTAAGCATAACCTCAGGCCACTACCTCGATGGTTCTTTTCTCACAGTAAGTAAATTCATTTAGGTACAGGTACACATTAGTACAATTGTCATACATAGTGTAAATTACCTAGGATAACCCCCCCCCCAAAAAAAAAAAAGTCAAAGTGACTTATTTCCACTGGGGTCCTGGAGTTTACCTGGAGAGAGTTCCGGGGGTCAACGCCCCCGCGGACTGGTCTGTGACCAGGCCTCATGGTGGATCAGAGCCTGATCAACCAGGCTGTTACTGCTGGCTGCACACAATCCAACGTACGAGCCACAGCCCGGCTGGTCAGGTACCGACTTTAGGTTCTTGTCCAGTGCCAGCTTGAAGACTGCCAGGGGTCTATTGGTAATCCCCCTTATGTATGCTGGGAGGCAGTTGAACAGTCTTGGGCCCCTGACACTTATTGCATTGTCTCTTAACGTGCTAGTGACACCCCTGCTTTTCATTGGGGTGATGTTGCATCGTCTGCCGAGTCTTTTGCTTTCGTTGTGAGTGATTTTCGTGTGCAAGTTCGATACTAGTCCCTTTAGGATTTTCCAGGTGTATATATTCATGTATCTCTCCCGCCTGCGTTCCAGGGAGTACAGGTTCAGGAACTTCAAGCGCTCCCAGTAATTGAGGTGTTTTATCTCCATTATGCGCGCCGTGAAGGTTCTCTGTACATTTTCTAGGTCAGCAATTTCACCTGCCTTGAAAGGTGCTGTTAGTGTGCAGCAATATTCCAGCCTAGATAGAACAAGTGACCTGAAGAGTGTCATCATGGGCTTGGCATCCCTAGTTTTGAAGGTTCTCATTATCCATCCTGTCATTTTTCTAGCAGATGTGATTGATACAATGTTATGTTATGGTTAATTTTTCACAGTAATACATGGTACTGCTTTTTGGCCAATAACATGAAAAGAATAATTTTAAAACAAAGATTTCATTAAAATGCATTAAGCATCGAAAACGGAATATCATATAATATATAAATATACCTATTATTAATCTAGGAATCCTTAAAATTCCTCATTATGAACAGGCTAACTAAATTTTTGACTCCCGAAATCCTAATAAGACAACTGTAAACAATCACAGAAGTGGTGGGACTCGCCTGCCTTGGGTTCGAGTCCTACCCGTTCTGTGATTTAACTGAATTTATTATTATTCTATTCATGGGCAGCGCTACACCTGCAGGGATCATACAGCACTTAGGCAACACGAGATAGACAGGTTTGATCCAAGGAAAGGTACGACAGATCCAATTCCTTGGATCAGAAGCCTTTCACCATCACCAGGCATCCCCTTGAATGGAAATTAACTGAAATATATATTTCAAGGGATAGGACTCCTTTCATTCACAGTCAAACTTTTAAATTAACCAGCAGCATATCGCCCGTCCAAACACACAAAAATACGAAACTAGACTTACAGGTTGTACTTTTCTTGTGCAGGGCCAATGGCAGCGCCTTCTGAAAACATGCACAATGCCTGGGTGAAGGTGAGGCCAGACGGAGACCCCCTCTGGCCAGACACACAAATAATCATAACACCTATTTCATTAGCCTATGACAACGGCTTCGTCTCTCCAGCTGTTTTCGGTCTTGATGATCAGGTAAGGGTACTTTTATTTATTTATTTATTTATTTATTTATTTATTTATTAACAATTTGAGCATACATACAGAGGTACAAAAAAATAATGATAAGAGCAGCATGCCAAAGCCACTTATACTATGCATAGCATTACGGGCTGGCTTAAAATTAACTAAGCAATGATGAAATCAGTGATAATACATTATTGTAAACAGATAACTATAAAGCACAAATGAGTATTACAAAGACAGGTCATATGGTTGCTTGCATTGTTGTACATTCAGTCGTATGGAGTATTCTGTTAGGTAGTGTGTTTAAAAAATAATAAAGTTAGATTGGGTTTTAGGTTTAACATTTATGTGATATAATTGTGAGAAACATTTAAGATATACAATTTATAAGATTCAGTTATTCAGTATTTATTTGGTTTTGGGTGAGTAAGTGATCTTTGAAAAGAGACTTGAATTTATAAACAGGTAGTGTTTCTTTTATATTTACAGGTAATGAATTCCAGATTTTAGGGCCTTTTATGTGCATTGAGTTTTTGCATAGTGTGAGATGGACACGAGGAACATCAAAGAGTGATCTGTGCCTTGTGTTATGGTCATGTGTTCTGTTGAGGTTGGCAAGGAGATGTTTGAGGGGAGGGTTAATATCAGAGTTGAGTGTTCTATGTATGTAATAGGTGCAGTAATAAGTATGGATGTTTTGTATGGTGGGTAGGTTTAGTGTATTGAATATTGGTGGAGTGTGCTGCCTGTAGTGAGAATTTGTTATCATTCTAACTGCAGCCTTTTGTTGGGTAATTAGTGGTCTGAGATGGTTAATTGTTGTTGAGCCCCATGCACAAATTCCATAGGTGAGATAGGGGTAAATAAGAGAGTGATATAGGGCCAGGAGGGCTGACTGTGGAACATAGTACCGTATCTTCGATAGTATGCCTACAGTCTTGGAAATTTTCTTAGAAATTTGTTGTATATGTGTATGAAATTTGAGTCTATTATCAAGGTGGATTCCTAAGAATTTTCCCTCTGTTAGCTTTGTGATAGGTGATCCGTTTATCATTATGTTAAGAGGGACATCTGTAGCTCTGTTACCAAACTGAATGAAGTAGGTTTTGTCAATGTTTAGTGTAAGTTTGTTAGTCCTCATCCAGGTAGATATTTTCTGTAATTCGGTATTTACAGTATTGGCTAGCGTGACTGGGCTCGGGTGAGAGAAGACGTATGTAGTGTCATCTGCAAATAGTGTGGGTTTGAGTAATTGCGAAGCATTTGGAAGGTCATTTATGTACAGGAGAAAGAGAAGAGGGCCAAGGACACTTCCCTGTGGGACACCAACTGTAATTGGTTGCGCAGAAGAGTTTGCCCCATTTGCGTACACATATTGGCTTCTGTTGCTGAGGTATGACTTGAGGTAGTTGAGGGAGTGCCCTCTTATACCATAGTGTGACAATTTTACGTGGAGCAAGTCATGGTCAACTGTATCAAAAGCTTTACGTAAGTCAATGAAGATCCCCAGTGGGACTTCTTTTTCTCTATTGCAGTGTATATATGTTCTAGCATGTGTATAATAGCATCATTAGTATTTTTATTAGGCCTGAATCCAAATTGGCAGGGGTTGAGTATGTTTTGGGAGATAAGGTAGGAGTAGATTCGTTTATGAATTAATTTTTCGAAGATTTTTGAGAGAGGGTGTAAGTTGGATATTGGCCTATAGTTATTCAACTCTGTTTGGTCTCCTCCTTTGTGGATCGGGGTGACCCTTGCTATTTTGAGTACTGTAGGGAAGGTGGAGGATTCAATGGATTTGTTAAAGAGTGTTGCAATGATTGGTGATAGCACTTGTGACACTTTTTTGTGTATAAAGGGTGGTAAGGTATTTAAATCTCCTGCCTTGTTTTTTAGTGCGTTGATAATAAGGGAGACTTCGTATGGGATAGCCGGAGCTAGGAACAGTGTGTTCGGGTAGTTGCCGGTGAGGTAGTCATTTGGTGGGGTATCTGAGCTTGGGATTTTATTGGCAAGGTTTTGTCCTATAGTGGAGAAGAAATCATTGAGTCTGTTTGCTGTTTCTGTTGGTGGGAGTTGGGGTTCATCTAATTTTGCTAATTTTATTTCGCTATTTCGTGATATCTTTTTTGTTCCCAGAATTTCTGATAGGGTTTTCCAGGTCTTTTTTATATCACCTCGTAAGTTGGATAATCTGTTCTCATAATACAATTTTTTTGCCCTTCTTATCAGGCTGGTTAGGACTGACGAGTAACGTTTTGTTTGGTCTCTGGTTATGTGACCCATTCTGTACTGTTTTTCATATTGGTGTTTTGTATTTATGGATTTGAGAATGCTGGGTGTTAGCCAGGGACTGTTCAGTCTCTTAGCTGTCATCTGTTTAGTTTTTTTAGGGCAGTGCTTGTTATAGAGGTATTGGTCTTTTTTAGAAAATTATTAATACATTCGTCAATATCTGTATAGATTTCTAGCTCAGTGTGCCAATCAATGTTTGCTACTGCTGTTGTGAAGTCATTAATGGCTGCCTCATTGTGAAGTCTGAAGGTGACTTTAATAGTGTCTTGGGGTAGTTTACCAAGAGTTGTTATGAGGAAAGTAGGGTAGTAGTCTGTGGTATTATCTGTAATTATGCCTGATTTTAAAGGGGATATGGTGTTGGTCCAGATGTGGTCAAGTAGGGAAACACTAGTCTCTGTAACTCTTGTAGGTTTTGTTACTGTTGGTAGTAACATACAGTTACTCATTGTGTTTGTGAATTCAGTAACGTGTGGGTCCTGGTCTTGCAGGAGATTTATATTGAAGTCACCTGAGAGTAGTAAGTGATCTTTGTTCATGCGTGCATCAGTCATCATACTTCCGAGGTTTTGACTAAATTGGCTAATGTTTGACTGTGGAACTCTGTAGATGTTTATCAATGCGAGAGGTTTTTGTAGGTATTTGGATTTGAATTTAGCTATTATATATTCCCCATGTTCATCCCTTGTGCAAGTATTAGTGATACATTCTAGTTGGTCTGAGTAGTATATGGCTGTGCCACCCCCTTGTTGGTCTGGCCTACAGTTGTGTATGGCTGTGTAACCAGGAATGGCATAGACATCTGTACTATCAGGCTTTAGCCAGGTTTCAGTTAGTGTAGTGATGGACATATTGGCATGTAAGGAATTTAGTAATGCTATGAGGTCATCGTAATGCTTGCTTAAAGATCTGATATTGTAGTTAAAGATAGTTATGTTGTTGTTGGCACTGAGAAGTGCCTTTGTTCTGCAGTGTAGTAATTACAGTAACTGTTTGATTCATTTAAGTCATTAAATAAGAGGTTGGTATCAGGATCAATGCTTGTAATCATAAGATTTGTAGTGAATCTATAGTTAGAATTAAGTATAAAACAAAGTAAATAGTCTTAAGCTAAAAAATAGCACCTGAATTATTTAACAAATGTAAAATAAATAAATGGTGGCCTGGTGGTTAACGCTCTCGCTTCACACGGTGAGGGCCTGGGTTCGATTCCCAGCCAGAGTAGAAACATTGGACGTGTTTCTTTCCACCTGTTGTCTATGTTCCCCATCAGTAAAATGGGTACCTGGGTGTTAGTCGACTGGTGTGGGTCGCATCCTGGGACACTGACCTAAGGAGGCCTGGTCACAGACCGGGCCGCGGGGGCGTTGACCCCCGGAACTCTCTCCAGATAATGAGCTAAGGTAGTTTTTTTTTTTTTAAGCTAAAATAAAGGAGACAATATAAAAGGGACTAATACAAATAAAGTGATGATCAAATAATGGAGCTTGGGAATATGATAGTAGGTAGTACTATAAAGGTAATTTTTTAAAGTTAGAATTATAGTATAAAATTATAATATAAAAGGGATTAATATAGGTTGTGGTGAACAATAAAGTGGTAATCAAATAAATGAGCTTTGGAATATAATGGCAAAATTGTGAACTTATTCTACTTTAGCACCTGAGAATAGCACCTTGATTATTTTAACAATTGTGAATATATAAACTAGGGTAGTTATATAAAGCTAAGATAAAGGAGAAAATATATAAGGGACTAAAATTAAGTAATGGTAAACAAAGTTAAATGGACAGATGGTAGGAATTATAATATAAACTTATAATATAAAAATACAATTTGAAATGGTACTTGCAATTGCACTAGAGTCTGGTATAGGTTGTTGACAAGATCAAGATTATAACTAGATTTAAATTGACAAAATAAAATTCACAATTAAAGTACCAAAAGAATAATAGTAAAAAAATAACAATGGTAATGTCTTGGTTATAATATGATAGTAAGATGGTAGACAGGTACCCAGGTACACAGGTACACAGGTACACAGGTACAAAGGATAATATAAAGGTTGGGGTTGAATATACAAACTTGAAAATTTGGCAACAAAATGTTATGGGAAGTATAAAATAATGTTTAATGTACAAAAGTAAAATTGACTGGTAGTAAATATGGTGTTTAATAAAATTTTAGTAAGTAATAATGATTACAAAAAAAGTGAAAAAGTAATGTTTATTTCATTCAATATTGCACTGGTAGTTATACTTGAGGTTATATGGCAGTACAAGGTAATTAAGAGTAATCTAAGATAGTAAATGTGGTATTAAAACAGGTAAAGGTAATTAGACAAGTAATGGTTATTAAATGTCAAAAATGTTAAGAGTAAATTGAAATTTTAGTAAAAATGATAATTATTAATTTTAGTAAGTAATATCAATTGATAGTATTTAAAAAAATATGAGGTAGTAATATGGACAGAGAAAGTATCAATTCAGCTAATGTTTAAGCGAACAATAGTAAATAACAAAATCACATAAGGTGACTTATGCTTACTAGTAAAATCACAAAATGAGGTAGTTGATTATTTAATTACTAAGAGATTGCACAATGAAATTTGAACAATAATGGAGCAAAACATACACTACACTACGTAGGCTTTTAAGTTGGACATTGTTTAGTTATTCTCTGTAAGATTAGTATCCCTGAGAAATCGTGATAGATCATTCTCGTTCGTGATTGTGTACAGTTGACCTACATTTGTTTTCCTAACAAGAATTTTCCCATCCCGTGTGAAGCATTGGTGTATTGTGCCGTTATTCTCCCGCTTAAGTTTTCTGACTCTATACAGGAGGTTCTGACGTTTTTTGGTAAGACACTCGTTTATGTATACCTCTTTCTTTACTTTAATAGATGCAATAATTAAGTCTCGGTGTTATTCTGTCATTAATTGATACAGTAACAATATTTGAAACATATATAAGAGTTCATTCATAACACCATTATTATTACGGATATAAAACTAACTTCTTAATATTATTATTCTTGACATAAGGTTACACTCATGTCAATAATACTTACAAGCACCACCCATTATAATCTTATTCTGCCTTTTTTTTTAATATTTTAGAAATTCAGAAATTACCTACATGAGATTTACGGCAGAGATGGGTTCAGCATGACGCCAATTCTCGTTCACCCCAAGAGCAGAGGCTCCATCACCCTCAAGTCCAGTGATCCCACCTACCTACCCATTATTAACCCAAATTATTTGAGCCATCCTGATGACATCAACACCCTCGTAAATGGTGAGCACTAACCTCAAATGTTAGTAATATCTTTATTTACTAAAAGTAGGTTGTATACAGTCCTAGCTGACATCAATGACATACTACTATATAGAAAGACCCTTCTTTTGCAGAGCATTTCGGGCAAATTAGATCAGTTTTTGTCCCATGATGCGACCCACATTAGTCAACTAACTACCAGGTACCAATTTTACTGATGGGTGAACATGGACCCCAGGTGTCTTATGGAAACACGTCCTTATTAATGTTTTCCAGCCGTACCGGAGGAGATTTGAACTCCGGACCTCAGTGTGTGAGCTGAGTGCGCTAGTGATCCAGCTACGGGACACCTTATTGTAATTGTTTATTGGGCTGAAATTTTAATAACTTGATTAGAATTTTTTTTTTGCAGATTATATGATTTAAATATAGGCATTTAGACAAATGTTTATACCCAAATTTTGATATTTCTGTTAGGAAATGGTGATATATATATATATATGTATATATATATATATATATATATATATATATATATATATATATATATATATATATATATATATATATATATATATATGCAAAACAACCACTGTGAAAGAATAGAGAAATTCCAAGTGCTTTCGTGACTACACACATTATCAAGGAACAATCTCTATTCTTTCACAGTGGTTGTTTTGCATATTCTGAAATCACCTGTTTACTGTGATCTTATTGCATATATATATATATATATATATATATATATATATATATATATATATATATATATATATATATATATATATATATATATATATATATATATATATATATATATTGCCAAATAGGGCAAGCGAAAATTTGTGTATGAAATAATTTCGCATAAATCATTCTGAACCTAATGAAAAAAATATGTTTCATTGTCTTTGTTAATTATTAAAGTATTATAAACTCATCGACACCATGCCCAGCCCTTCTCGGGTAGGGTAGGTGCCTGAGCTTTCAACTCACAAGACTGTCATTCCCATTAGCCCCCTTGGGGCGGGGATAGCAGACCAGAGAGGCCAGCTTCTCCCTCCGAAGCTAGGCCTGGGGACAGTTGGTCCCAAAGATGAGGGGGTACTTGTGTCTCCACCCATGGGAGACTTAGGTCTCAGATACTCCCTAGACAGGGAGCCAAGGCCGGGCCACCACTTGGAAAAGGCCCAGGCCGAGTGAATACCGGCGAATCTGTAATAATAATAATAAACTGACATTGACACCATGCCCAGCCCTTCTAGGGCAGGGTAGGTGCCTGAGCCAGAGGTTGCAGCTCACAAGACTGTCATTCCCTTAGTACCCTTGGGGCGGGGATGGCAGACCAGAGAGGCCTAGCTTCTCCCTACGAGCCCCGTGAGGGCGGGGAATGTGGCTGGGCCTGGGGACAGTTGGTCCAGAGGATGAGGGGGTACTTGTGCCTCCTCCCATGGAAGACTTAGGTCTCAGACACTACTAGCCGGGCCCCCACTTGCAAAACGCCCGGGCCGGGAGAATACCGGCGAATCTTTAATAATAATACACAAATAACCCGCACATAGAAGAGAGAAGCTAACGACGACGTTTCGGTCAGACTTGGGCCATTTACAAAGTGTGACTTTGTAAATGGTCCGAGTCGGACCGAAATGTCGTCGTAAGCTTCTCTCTTCTATGTGCGGGTTATTTGTGTATCGTTCCAGTCACGGTATTGTGCCTTTTTTTTATTTAATAATAATAATATTATAAACTAATATAAAATGTATTTAGCTGGAGTAGGCTAAATTAAATTGTGCTTGTTATAATAAGGTTAGTCCAATTTCCTAAGGTTCTTTTGGTAGAAAATCATTAACATTTATATTATCATAAATGAAAAAATATATCTTAAATGTATAAGAGAAAATTTTTGAAAGGACTTAATTGGCCAGTTTTAAATATTTGGCACGACATTATATATACCTGGAGTATACATGGAGAGAGTTCCGGGGCCCTGTCTGTGACCAGGCCTCATGGTGCATCAGGGCCTGATCAACCAGGCTATTACTGCTGGCCACATGTAATCCGGGTGGTCAGGTACTGACTTAAGGTGCCTGCTTGAAGACAGCCAGGGGTCTATTGCTAATCCCCCTGATGTATACTGGGAGGCAGTTGAACAGTCTTTGGCCCTTAACACTTATTGTGTTGTCTTTTATCGTGCTAGTGACACCCCTGCTTTTCATTGGGGGGATGTTGCATCGTCTGCCAAGTCTTTTGCGTTCGTAGGGAGTGATTTTTGTGTGCAAGTTTGGTACTAGTCCCTCTAGGATTTTCCAGGTGTATATAATCATGTATCTCTCCCTCCTGCGTTCTAGGGAGTACAGGTTCAGGAACTTCAAGCGCTCCCAGTAATTGAGGTGGTTTATCCCAGTTATGCGCGCCGTGAAGGTTTTCTAGGTCAACAATTTCACCTGCCTTGAAAGGTGCTGTTAGTGTTCAGCAATATTCCAGCCTAGATAGAACAAGCGACCTGAAGAGTGTCATCATGGGCTTGGCATCTCTGGTTTTGAAGGTTTTCATTATCCATCCTATCATTTTTCTAGCAGATGCGATTGATACAATTTTATGGTCCTTGAAGGTGACATCCTCTGACATGATCACCCCCAGGTCTTTGACATTAGTTTATCGCTGTATTGTGTGGTTGGAATTTGTTTTATACTCGGATGAGGTTTTAATTTCCTCACGTTTTCCATATCGGAGTAATTGAAATTTCTCATCATTGAACTTCATATTGTTTTCTGCAGCCCATTTAAAAATTTGGTTGATGTCCGCCTTGAGTCTTGCAGTGTCTTCAATGGAGGACACTGTCACGCAAATTCGAGTGTCATCTGCAAAGGAAGACACGGTGCTGTGGCTTATATCCCTGTCTATGTCCGATATGAGGATGAGGAACAAAATGGGGGCGAGTCTTGGGCCTTGTGAAACAGCTTTTCACCGTAGCCGCCTCAGACTTTATTCTGTTGACTACTACTCTTTGTGTTCTATTCGTTGGGAAATTTTCGATCCATCTACCGACTTTTTCCTGTTATTCCTTTATCACGCATTTTGTGCGCTATTACACCATGGTCACACTTGTAAAAGGCTTTTGCAAAGTCTGTATACATTACATCTGCATTCTGTTTGTCTTCTAGAGCATCCAGGACCTTGTCGTAGTGGTCCAGTAATTGGGACAGACAGGAGAGACCTGCTCTAAACCTATGCTGCCCTGGGTTGTGTAACTGATAGGTATCTAGATGGGGGGTGATCTTGCTTCTTAGAACCCTTTCAAAGATTTTTATATGAGAAGTTAGCGCTATCGTTCTGTAGTTCTTTGCTATTGCTTTACTACCCCCTTTGTAGAGTGGGGTTATGTTGTTTTTAGTAACTGTGGGACGACCCCAATGTCCATGCTCCCTCTCCACAGGATGTTAAAAGCACGTGATAAGGGCTTCCTCCAGTTCTTGATGAACCTGGAGTTTACCTGGAGAGAGTTCCGGGGGTCAACGCCCCCGCGGCCCGGTCTGTGACCAGGCCCCCTGGTGGATCAGAGCCTGATCAACCAGGCTGTTCCTGCTGGCTGCACGCAAACCAACGTACGAGCCACAGCCCGGCTGATCAGGAACCGACTTTAGGTGCTTGTCCAGTACCAGCTTGAAGACTGCCAGGGGTCTGTTGGTAATCCCCCTTATGTATGCTGGGAGGCAGTTGAACAGTCTCGGGCCCCTGACACTTATTGTATGGTCTCTTAACGTGCTAGTGACACCCCTGCTTTTCATTGGGGGGATGTTGCATCGTCTGCCAAGTATTTTGCTTTTGTAGTGAGTGATTTTCGTGTGCAAGTTCGGTACTAGTCCCTCTATGATTTTCCAGGTGTATATAATCATGTATCTCTCCCGCCTGCGTTCCAGGGAATACAGGTTTAGGAACCTCAAGCACTCCCAGTAATTGAGGTGTTTTATCTCCGTTATGCGCGCCGTGAAGGTTCTCTGTACATTTTCTAGGTCAGCAATTTCACCTGCCTTGAAAGGTGCTGTTAGTGTGCAGCAATATTCCAGCCTAGATAGAACAAGTGACCTGAAGAGTGTCATCATGGTCTTGGCCTCCCTAGTTTTGAAGGTTCTCATTATCCATCCTGTCATTTTTCTAGCAGATGCGATTGATACAATGTTATGGTCCTTGAAGGTGAGATCCTCCGACATGATCACTCCCAGGTCTTTGACGTTGGTGTTTCGCTCTATTTTGTGGCCAGAATTTGTTTTGTACTCTGATGAAGATTTAATTTCCTCGTGTTTACCATATCTGAGTAATTGAAATTTCTCATCGTTGAACTTCATATTGTTTTCTGCAGCCCACTGAAAGATTTGGTTGATGTCCGCCTGGAGCCTTGCAGTGTGCAATGGAAGACACTGTCATGCAGATTCGGGTGTCATCTGCAAAGGAAGACACGGTGCTGTGGCTGACATCCTTGTCTATGTCGGATATGAGGATGAGGAACAAGATGGGAGCGAGTACTGTGCCTTGTGGAACAGAGCTTTTCACCGTAGCTGCCTCGGACTTTACTCTGTTGACGACTACTCTCTGTGTTCTGTTAGTGAGGAAATTATAGATCAATCGACCGGCTTTTCCTGTTATTCCTTTAGCACGCATTTTGTGCGCTATTACGCCATGGTCACACTTGTCGAAGGCTTTTGCAAAGTCTGTATATAATTACATCTGCATTCTTTTGTCTTCTAGTGCATTTAGGACCTTGTCTTAGTGATCCAAAAGTTGAGACAGACAGGAGCGACCTGTTCTAAAACCCATGTTGCCCTGGGTTGTGAAAACTGATGGGTTTCTAGATGGGTGGTGATCTTGCTTCTTAGGACCCTTTCAAAGATTTTTATGATATGGGATGTTAGTGCTATTGGTCTGTAGTTCTTTGCTGTTGCTTTACTGCCCCCTTTGTGGAGTGGGGCTATGTCTGTTGTTTTTAGTAACTGTGGGACTACCCCCGTACCCATGCTCCCTCTCCA